CTTAAAAAAAAAAAAAAAAGGCATATGACTATTTCCAATCCCTAATCTTACTGTAAGCCTGCCCATGAATAGTCAGAAATGTTAACTCTGGGGGCCAGCCCCGTGGTGTAGCGGTTAAGTGTGCGTGCTCCGCTGCTGGCAGCCCAGGTTCGGAGCGCACCAATGCACCACTTGTCAGGCCATGCTGTGGCAGCATCCCACATAAAGTGGAGGAAGATCGGCACAGATGTTAGCTCAGGGCCAGTCTTCCTTGGTGAAAAGAGGAGGATTGGCATGGATGTTAGCTCAGGGCTGATCTTCCTCAGAAAAAAAAGAACGAACGAACAGAAAAAAAAAGAAATGCTAACTCACTCCTATAAAACATTTATAAAGATGTCACCACAAGTAGTTTATTCAATAATCAAAAGATATCTTCAGTCACATTAGCCATCAAAAAAGGTCACATGTAAAAATATAATACAAGCTGAATGACTGAAACAGAAAATTATAACTAAACCACAATCCTATGCCTCAATTGAGTAGGTGCCCTATCAATACACTTAATGCTAAATATAAGAAGCCATCTGCCAACACCTAAAGAAGTTTACCTAAGCTGAAAGAATACATCTTCATCCACAAATCCAAACGTATCATGTAGCTTTGTAACCACCCCTGTAAAAACACGCTGTTTCTGAGGCTGGGTTTGTTGCTGACTGGACCTTGGTGTTGGATATGATACAGTTATCTGTGCTGCAGGCTGAGGAGTAGACAGGCTAAGGCTTGTAGGCAGTGCAACAGCTGGCTATAAAAGAAAATCAACATCAAATTAACGTAATGATTTGAGATAGTCTAGAAATTAAAGACTACTTAAAACTAACTCAAAATGCTAAAAATAATTTATTTGAAGTTAGAAAACACACATGTACACCTTGAGAGCGAGAATCAAGTCTGAAATTTTGTTTTTTTTAATCTATTTCATCATTAAGTTCCATAGATGAATGTTTTCACACGTTGTTCCAGGAAAAAAAAGATAACTCAGTGCAGTCAGTTTAAAACACTGCATACTGTAGCCCTCTCTTAGAAATTCAAAATCGATAGTGGCATAATACTCAGGAAAGTCTTAGATAAGTGAAATAAGTCAGACAGAGAAAGACAAATATGTATGATTGCACTTACATGTGGAATGTAAAAAACCTAAAGAACTCATAGGAACAGAGAAGAGATTGGTGGTTGCCAGAGGAGGTGGGGAGGGGGCATCCGTGAAAGTGGTCAGAAAGTACAAACTACCAATTATAAGATAGAGAAGTTCTGGGAAGTAACGTATAGCATGGTAACTATAGTTATACTGTATATCAGAAAGTTGCTAAGAGAAAAGATCTTAAAAGTTCTCAACAGAAGAAAAAATAATTGTAATTATGTGAGGTGATGCATGTTAACCAAACTTGTGGCAATCATCTCGCAATATATACATATATCAAATCATTCTGTTGTACAACTTAAATTAATACAATGTTACATGTCAATTATATCTCAATAAAACGAAAAAAGAAAAAGTAACACTTTCATTGGTGTTTTCTGGCATAATCAAGCATGAATAACAACGTATTATTGATTAAAACTTCTGTATAAAAATAGAAATAAAATCATTAAAAAAAAAGGAATAATTATCTAATTCAAGTCAAACTATGGAATTTGTTTTACACCTGCCCAATAAAACAAGTCTGTAAGTTCTACAATTAAAAAAAAAAAAAAAAAAGGAGAGTCCTATAGTATATAGTAAAGGAATTCAGCATTTCTTAAACCATGACCACAAAATTATTCTCATGAAATTTCTTTAACACCCTAAGACACTAAGGCTTCCTGGGCACACTTTTGGACATGCTATTCTAAGAAAACACAAACTTTTACAGCTTTTCTACTTAATCTGGAAATTCTACTACTGGAGATTGAAAATATGAAATAGCTGTTAGTCAATTTAAGTTCTTTAATAAAAAGAGAAAGTGAGGTTGGCTTCTCAATTGAAGCGTACTTTATTTTTTTGTGTGTGAGGAAGATTAGCCTTGAGCTAACATCTGATGCCAAGCCTCCTCTTTTTGCTGAGGAAGATTGGCCCTGGGCTAACATCCAAGCCCATCTTCCTCTACTTTACGTGGGACACCACAACAGCATGGCTTGACAAGCAGTACGTCGGTGCGCGCCCGGGATCCGAACCTGCGAACCCCGAGCCACCAAAGCGGAGCATGCACACTTAACCGCTACGCCATCGGGCCGGCCCCGAAGTGTACTTTATTTTTAAAAAATAACAGATTCAAGACTAAAAAGGGTATGAAAGGTTATACAGTAATAAGCTGCTCCCCTACTCCTGTTCTCCAGCTACTGAGATCCCTAGTCACGAGGCAATCACTGTGACTAGTTATTATTAGAAGTTCCAATTCCTTCTTAACAGTTGCATAGCATTTCACTTGTAAGTACATAGCAGGGGTCAGTGGATCATGGCCCATGGGCCAAATCCAGCCCAGAGCTTATGATTTTTGTATAGCTTATAAGCCAAGGATGGTTTTTACACTTTTAAAGGATTGTAAAAATGAAAAACATATATGCAACAGAGACCATAAGTGGTCCACAAAGCCTAAAGCAGCACTACATATCAAAAGTTCAAAAGCTTTTTAATGTTGCTGAAGAATTAAGCTGATAACGGAACACAGTAACTTCACCTACTAAGATCAAGCTAAAAGATATAATGTGTGCAAAAAAACTTCCTAAAAATGTTAGCTAAAAGGAAATGTAAAAGCCAAAATCTGTATTAAGTTTAAAATAAGACCTGATATTTATTCAAACTAGATCACAGCTGGATCTACAATCGAAAACCATAAAAGAAAAAACAAAAACATGTTTTCCATCTTTATTTAATAATATAGTATTGCTAAACTATTACGTGAATCTAACAAATTTTCGTCTTTAAACTCTGAAAGAAAAACGAGAATAGGAATAAAACTTTGGGCTACTCTTCATTCAGATATCCAAAAGACATAAAAATATTTTTTAACGAACTAACCTGTGTTAAAAGGGTCTGCTGAGGTTGCTGTAACTGAAAAAAGAAAAAAACAAACAAAAACAGGAAAGAAAAAAGAAAAGGATCAATCAGAACTGTTGTTTCATAGATGCTTTATATAACAAGGTAAAATTCCTATTAAATAGGTACTTTATTTCTAATTAAGAAATATGTGAAAAGTAACAGAGGTCATTAGGTATAAGGTTTCCTTCAACTATTTTTTTTTTTTTGTGAGGAGGACCAGCCCTGAGCTAACATCCAATGCCAATCCTCCTCTTTTTTGCTGAGAAGACTGGCCCTGGACTACCATCTGCGCCCATCTTCCTCTACTTTATATGGGACACCGCCACAGCATGGTTTAACAAGCGGTGCATCGGTGCACACCCGGGATACGAACCAGCAAACCCCAGGCCACCGCAGCAGAGGGCGCGCATTTAACCGCTTGCGCCACTGGGCCGGCCCCTCCTGCAACTATTTTTAACTGCAAACTTGATATATAACTCATGCAATAACAATAAAGAAAATTATCTTTTTTGTTATTTCATAGGAATAAGACCCACAAAAAAACCACCTAAGTCCCTAGAGGGGAAGATTTCTACTTCTGCCATGTGTTAATTACCACGCTACAGAAATGAATCCATATCATCAGTATGCTACTTGTATCAAAAATATCACTGGCTATCCAATTCACATATAATCCTAAAATGAGAAGCACTGCCAATGGTCAGACTCGCCACAGGCATGGGGACCATAAAGGACCACAGACTCTGACATACAGTTTTTCTGGCAATAGCAAGCATAACATTTCCAGAAAGTATAAAGAATTGGTGTGTGGGGGGCGGGATTTAAATACTCTGGAATAGAAACTTGACTTAAGCTAGGATAAAAGAACCTATATGAGATTCTAATTCAAAACACTGTTTACCTGGGGTCACCATGGATTTGGATTAGGGATAACTCTATCAAATTACTATTTTTCTGTAAGTCAAGAACATATGAGTAAGGGCGCGCGCGCGCACGCGTGTGTGTAAGATTAGCCCTGAGATAACATCCGCTGCCAATCTTCCTCTTTTTTGCTGAGGAAGATTGGCCCTGGGCTAACATCCATGCCTATCTTCCTCTGCTTTAATGGGACACTGCCACAGCATGGCTTCACAAGCAGTGCATCGGTCCACGCCTGGGATCGGAACCTGCAAACCCCAGGCCGCCAAAGCGGAGCATGCGAACCTAATGGCTACACAACCGGGCCAGAGCCGAGTAAAGGCATTTTTTAAGGCAAGAACATTTGAGTATTGCCATTTTCATATGGTTCAACCTAACACATAATCTTCAGTAATGTATTTCATAACAGTAGTAAAATAAGTCTGAAGATATTTTGAAAACAAGATAGCCAACTTTTACATCAATCTCTTGTCAATTTTTTAGAAGATTAAAGCAATTACTAGTGAGATACTGTAATCTTCAGGGAAAATGCAATGCTTCTGAAGCCCCAAAGGACTTAAGCCAAGGAGGAAATTGAGCCATGGATCTAGTGACAAGAGTTTAGGGATTGAAAAGCCTCATGTTTCTTCACATTGTCTTCGGATCCAGTTTTTGGTCCTTCTCTCTTGTATCCCCTTTTCTTCTCCTGACTGCTATACTTTCCTGAAGCTTCTAAATGGCACTGAAAAGGAATGAAGACTACCTCTTAATCCTGGAAAAGCCTAGAGTGGGAGCTTAGGCTAGAAATTATCCAGATATCAGCAGAGCAAATTCTTTTTCCCTTGACATGCTTCTCCTTGGGTTCAGTTTTTCTAACCTCTTCCTCCCTCCCCAAAACCCCAGTACACAATTGTATATTCTAGTTGTAAGTCCTTCTAGTTCTTCTATGTGAGCCGCCGCCACAGCAAGACTACTGACAGACAAGTAGTGTGGTTCTGCACCTGGGGAATAGAACCTGGGCCACCGAAGTGGAGCACGATGAACTTTAACCGCTAGGCCATCCGGGCTGGCTCTCAACAGCTCTATTTTAATATTTTGTACATCGGGTTTCAATATACAATTTCATTAGGGGAAAAAAAGGAGCGTTTTGTTGCTTTAAAAAATAAAGGTTAAGCCAGCGGTCTATCTACAGTTTAGGCTTCCAATGGAAAAAAGGAGCTTTTCTGGGCCGGCCCCATGGCTTAGCGGTTAAGTGCACGCACTCCGCTGCTGGCGGCCTGGGTTCAGATCCCAGGCGGGCACCGACGCACCACTTCTCCGGCCACGATGAGGCCACGTCCCACATACAGCAACTGGAAGGCTGTGCAACTATGACATACAACTATCTACCGGGGCTTTGGGGGAAAAAAAATAAAAATAAAAAAAAAAAGAAACTGGCTTTAAAAAAAAGAAAAAAGGAGCTTTTCATTTTCACATATATTTAGTACATCACAGTAGGGCTGGAGGTTCCAGACAGGAATATTGAGCCAAAGACTCAATAATAGAGTGATTCCTTCCAGATTATCCTCTGCATGCACTCATAGGAACATGTGACAGACTGGCTGCTAGCTGAGGATTTGGGTTTTCAGGACCTCTCTCCTATCTTCCTCTCCCTTGGAGACATTCATCTACCTCATTTCCCCCACCCCAAAAGAATTCAAATTACACATTAAGGTAGCTGAGAGGAAATAAAATCTATGTAAATTGAATTTGGAACAAATGACTATTTTTAAAATCAGTTTTTAACATGGAAAATATAAACCAACCTGTTGTTGCACACTATACAAGGCCTGCTGAGGTTGTGAATATTGCTGGAAAGAAAAAAGATGTTTCAAAAAACAACATGGATATTAGTTATCTGATTCTCAAAAAGTGGTATACATACATACATACAAATATATAACGAGAACTACACTAAAAAAAATTTTCTGGAACAGGTAACCTTCATCTAAAATATACAAAATGAGATTACTTAAACTCTGAGATCCATCAAGAACTAAATTTTGTTCAAATAATAAAAGTATAAGAACTGCCCAATTTACAAATTTAGACTATGCAACTATATTTCTCTGTTATGTCCTGGGCATATGTAATTTTTATCACTAGGAAGAAACAATAAGCACTTATAATAAAAACCCACAAGTATTCATTCTTCAAAAAGTAAAGGTACCTATCCTGGCTACTCAGATTTGATAGTTTTCTATGTTGCTTATTAAAACCTATTAAAGATTCACCTGTTGCAATGCAGCTGCTGCAGCTGCTGCTTGTTGCTGCAATGCTGCAGTCTGGGTTAACTGATAGTTTGCTGGGGTTTGTGTGGTAAGGCCTGCTGCTGCCAATGCAGTTTGCTGTGTATAAATGGTAGGAGATGCTCCAAGGAGTGATGGCTGCTGAACACCCAATGCAGCTAAAATGAGATTAAAAAGAGGAAAAAAAAAAATAAGATTATTTGGAAGCTTTCCAGGAATTTTCCATGAGTGCTTAGTTATGCATTATCCTCTGCCATTATCTAGTAAAAACCTCAAGTAAAATTTCAGTGATGCTTGTTGCCTGGCTGAATTTAACTGATTCACGTCCCACCCCAGATCCCAATGGCTTTATATTAAATGTTCATGTCATGATAGATATAACAAAAGATTATTCTACAAAATTAAACTATAAAATGAACCCAAGAAACCTTACCTAGACCAAGAGGCTAAAGTGCCCTCAAGAAGTATTTTTAGGAAGAAGTGTAGAAAATAAATTATCTTCCTTTACTAATATAGAATTTATCTTCAAGCAGATGAGAATCATATATTAAGGACAGTGTTGCTGAAAGTGTTCCACCCTTAAAACTTCCTACTGGACAGAATTTTCATGTACTTCCACTTTGCATTAAAGAATTGTAAAACTAGGAAACAGAACAACACTTTAAAAGCACAAAAAGTTTTTAATGTTAGTGCACTACTGTACAAAAGCAATGAGAGATAAAATTAACCACACAGTGACTTAAAATGATTATTTGCTTAAGACAAATAAGTGCGGGGAGAGCTCAGAATAACAGACTTAGATACTTAATGTTTAATTTATCCTTGGACAAGGCTAAAAGCTGAAGAGAACATGAGATTTTATTTGATGCTTTTATGTAATTTCATTAAATGCAAAAAAGCAATCAACTAAAAATTGTGGTCTAGCACCGCACTTCCCCAAATTGTATCTCCTGGAAAAATGACCAGTTCCCCAGGACAATAAAGTTCGAAAAAACAGGTCCAAGATTTAAAAAGTTTGGGAAACACCAAATCAAGCATATATTTTTACTGCAGGATTTCTCAGAACCTTTAATATGCCACTAAGCATTATGAATCTCAGAGAGGTTGCCATAAAAGCAGTATTTGTTCATGCAACACTCCCTTTTCCAAGGCATCTTGCTTGTAACTGAGAATAACTTGAAAAAATACTGCTCTACAGCTATTAGTTAGTTAATAACTCTCTACAAAGAACAATATCGTGCCTTCCAGGAAAAGAACAGAGAGCATTAATGTACTAACCAAAGCACCTAGTCTAGAATATCCCAGAAAATCTTCAGAAGTGTGAGGTTCATCATCAATCAGTTGTTTAAGAGTCCAGATTAATTTTATTCAAAAATAAAACAAACCAACAACATAAGACAAACATCCCAGAAATCATGTTTGGAATTCTTGAATATTACTAATTACTCCCTGATAAAACAGTGAAAAACACTGATTTTTAAAAATTACAAGAGGAGGAGAAAAAAAAGCGGACAACCTAAGATGAGAAAAAACCTTCCAAATGTCCTAAACAAAAAGTGCTAAATCCTTGCCACACTAATCTTTTATTTTTTCTTTTGTTTTTAAGGTAAGTTAGATGTCACAGACAGGCAGAAAGGAAAAACCAGGACTAATTAAATGAATTTAAACAGAAAGAAGTAGGGAATATCTAACACCAATGTAAGTTCAAAATGAGGTTAACTGCAATGAGAATAGAGAAAAAGGTACCAAAATCTAGGGCACAGGTTCTAACCAGTGGGTCATCTTCTTCACCTTCTGAAATTGTACGCAAAATCGCAGATAAAAAAGTCCAAAATTTTCATCAGGGGGGCCGGCCCGTGGTATAGCGGTTAAGTGCACGTGCTCCGCTGCTGGCGGCCCAGGGTTCGGATTCCGCGTGCGCACTGATGCACCGCTTGTCAGGCCATGTGGCGGCGTCCCACATAAAGTGGAGGAAGATGGGCACAGATGTTAGCCCAGGGCCAGTCTTCCTCAGCAAAAAGAGGAGGATGGGCGTGGATGTTAGCTCAGGGCTGATCTTCCTCACACACACACAAAAAAATTCAAAATCTTCATCAGATTTTCAACTATGGATTGAAGTAGACCCAAAAAAGGTTAAGAATCACTGTTCTACAATACAAGCAAAATTCTCATGTAGACACAAGACAGGCAAAGACCTTAGGAAAAATTATCAGTACTTTAAATTCTAAGAATGACATGTTCTACATTTGACAAAAGTAACATCCATGATTCAAATATCATACCCATCTCCTTTATCCACCACAGCGCCGACCTCAGATCTGCTCTGCTTCAGTCTGCTGTTATCAATTTCCAGAACCCTAGATAATAGTGATAGTTGCCACAGCAGAAGGGCTCAGAGCCAATATCTCAGAAAATCTATTTTCTTCCTGTAGTTTTTCTAGGTGTTCTGGACCCTGGCAGCATCCAGCAGCCCAGTAGTAAGCAGGTGGGGTGATAGCTGATACCCACACATCTCTTTCCTACTGTTGACAGTCAATATGACGAATTAGAAACCACAAAACAGATTAATTGGTAATGAAAGGTTCAACTGACAGGAGAAATTTATGGGAAATAAATTTACATTCTAGCAGTTGCTTCATACAACTAATTAGTTAATTCAAATTTTGTGAAATCACCATGCATGTGGTCGTGGCTTTTTTAAGTCTGTAAAACAGCTCTTTTTTCAAATCATTTACATTTGAGATTTTAATCTCCATAAATTATATTTCCTTAATATTTATTAATGCTCCCCTTTCTTGTGGATATCTGAGAAGCTATTCTTGAATATTTGTACACAGCATTCTCCATTCTTCATGCAAATTATTATACTCAATATTCTGCAAAATAATTCTACAACTTGCAAAGTACAAAGGCATTAATCTCTGATTTACTCTTTCTCCCTAGGTTAACTGGCCAGACACTTGTCAATAGAAGATCTTTTCCAATTACCCCCATTGGAACAGTGTGTTCATTTATCTGCACCTGACGTGAGGTGACTGTTGAAGGTCTCCTGACCGATCTGAGACAGGTACGCTTATCACTATGTATCAGTACTTCCACAGACAAACCTATGAAATGAGCCCTAAATGACCATAGGCTACCAGGTAAAACAGTAAATTTAAGGGCTAAGTTTTCTGAAACCATTAAGGACAAATGTAGAATATATTATTTTCTAAAATGTAAAATCAGTTTCACATGACTGAAATTTTCATGTTATGATATACTAGTTATTATTTACTCAATACCAGTGAACACACCTTTAAAAACACAAAAGAGGTACCTGTCCCTTGTCTGTTGTCCCTTAATCTTACAAAACTTGCTGTTAAATTTAAAAATCCTTATTATCTTTATACCTTGGTGCTCTGTCTTTACTAAGATGAGTCATCCGTCTGAAACGATGAATAAAACTCAAAACCTCAAACTGGCTCAAGAAACTTTATTTTTCCACCTTTTACAAAATTATTTAAAGTACTGGTCAAGCAATGCTTCATCCTGTGAAATTTCCATATATCGATACATGTTCAAAAAGTAATCTCACACTATTTGGAGAGAAAAACAATATGAAGATGTAAGGGATTGTCTTTATAACTTGTGGATTTACTAAAATACTTATAAACCAAGATTTTGAATCAAGTGAACAAATCTTCTAAATGTCATCTTCTACTCAACATCTTTCCTAAGAAGTGCTCTTTAAAGATCAGATTTCACACAAATACAAAACTTTGATGCCCCCCTGTACAGATAACTTTCTTACAACCAGACAACTTACTGGTCAATTCCTTGCTGTGGCTTCTGAGGTTCTATTCTAAGCCCATAATGTACCTAATGACTGGAAATATCCGTTACCTTTTAAGAACAAGAAATTAAGGCATTAAGAATAAGAAATGAAGAATAACAAATGAAGGGTGTCAAAAGGTACAAACTTCTGGTTATATGAAAATAAATACCTCATAAGGATGTTAAGAAAAAAAAAAAGAGGGGCCAGTCTGGTGGTGTAGTGGTTAAGTGTGCATGCTCCACTTCAGTGGCCTAGGGTTTGCAGGTTCGAATCCTGGGTGCGCACCAACACACTGCTTGTCAAGCCATGCTGTGGCGGCGTCCCACATAAAACAGAGGAAGACGGGCCTGGATGTTAGCCCAGGGCCAATCTTCCTCAGGAAAAAGAGGAGGATTGGCATCAGATGTTAGCTCAGGGCTAATCTTCCTCACATAAAAAAAAAGAAACAAAAGGAAAGAGATTAAGGCACAAATTAGGATTTTAAATATAACATATTCCAGGTGTTGTAATCTTCTATAACTGCATTGTTCCATACATTAGTCACCAGCCATGTGTTGCTATTTCACCTTAAATTAGTGAAAATTAAATAAAATTAGAAATTCAGTTCCTCAGTCACACTAACCACATTTCAAGTGCTCAATAGCCACATGTGGCTAGTGGCTACCATATCAGACAATGAAGACACGTATAGAATATATCCATCATCACAGAAAGGTCTACTTAGCGGACAGTGCTGCTCTATAAGGAAGAGGCAAAGCCTTAACCAAACTAAATCAATGTTATATGGGGTTCTTATAGTCTCCATAAAGATTAATATCCTAGCAGACAATAGCTCTTACACTCTCTTGAACTCCCACGGAAGTGATGACTAGTAATCGTGGCCAGTCTCTTCTAGCTACTACTCAAATAATTGTTGGTCAACCCTCCCAGGCAGTTGAAGACACCATTTGTAATGTCATACAATTTCTTCCAACCTTAATTGCCTCTGATATTTACCTAGTTTTCGACCCCATTTTTTTCAAGGAGTCTTGTATCACCCAAAGTTAACACTCAAACTTTCAATGTTACTTCCAATACATTTTCAGCTATAATAGATCAAAGTTATTTCCCAGATCATAAAACACAGTACTAGAGAAGCCACAACTGCATAAACATTCAACTGTTGCACACTCAACTCAGGATAGAGAGATCGGGCACTCACTGGTTTATGGTATGCTATGTTAACGCAGCTCTCACTGGATGAAAGCACAAGTAACAGAGGCACACTCAGAGGATGAGGAAAAAAATACGCATCAACAATGAGCCTTAATAGATCGTATGTGCATTTTTTTACTCTTAGAAAAATGTTTTAGAGACAATTTGCTATTACACAGCACTCACAGTATCTAAAAAGGGGAAGCCACACCAGTAGCAATCCTCCTTTTCTACCAAATGAGTTGGAAACATCCAAGTCTATCAAGGGTTAACTAATCTAAGTGAAGTATACATAGTACATCAGCTATGATTCGTTTGAAAAAGACCATGCATCTTGGAATTTAACAATTTGAGCTGCTGATTCAAGAGACTGGGCTTTTAAAAGATGACCACTGGGTCAGAATGAAGAGGTAGGAAAAATGGAATCATAGTTAAAACACTGTATTGGTATTAGCTCCAGTCACCTGTGTTAAAGCACCACGTATCACTATAGTTTTAACTCCTGAACTAGATCATTTTTCTCTATAGCCAGAATGCAGTCATCTTACAAATGGTCAAAAGAAATGAGTGTGAAAATGAGTGAGAAATGAGTGAGTCTGAATCTGCTAAATCCAACCCCACACTTAAATATTGTTGCAATTATATACATATACACATGCAAATATGTTGAGTCAAACATACTGAAGGCACCCCTAGTCAATATAATTGACGTAATGGCTACTTAAAGATTCAATCAGTGATTTGCCAGCTCACTCTCTCAATGTCTCTTTACATGACAAAAAACTGTTAGACTTTCAAACCTAAAAGCTCTGGTCCCAAGTATGACTGCTGCTGAATACGTACAACAGCACTTCAGCAAGGAGATAGCAAAATAGGGTAAATATTAAGAACAAGTATTTCAGTGTGGGAGAAATGAGAAATGGGGATGGAAACACAGAAGACCTTGGTATTCTAAATGTCCTTAAAGACATTTTTGCAAATGAATAAAAGAATAGAGTAATGGAAGATACAATGAACCACAATTCTGAGGTCCTAACATTGCTCTTCTGTGACCTTCTGTGAGACCTAAACAAATTTCTTCACCATTCCAGGGCTCAATTTCCTCATCTGTTAGAGAAAGGAGTTGAGAGAGAATCTAGCTCCAGCTCCTTCCAGCTTTGAAAAATTCTGTGATTTAGATAGAAATTATGCTTTAGGACTATCAAGTTATCTGAGACACACACTGGAGCTGGGGGACAAATTAGTAGTAGTATATCCAGTAAGAAAGAGAGGAAGCCAATAAAAGCAGTTAGAACTAAATAAAGGATAATAAATATAGAGCATCATCACCAACTGAGAGAGGGAGAAAAGAGCTTCCTGACTTAAGTGAAGGGATCTATGGTAAGCACTGTGGATTAGGATATAAAGGTTTGGGAAAGGTAGGGCAGGGCCTGAAAGTTAGGTGAGAGACTCTGGCATAGGAGCTATGCAGTTACCCAAATGTGAAGTGCAGAGAGCCTAAATGTAAAATGGAGGAGTATAGTCGAGGCATTTTCACAAGGGAAAAAAGTCAAGGGTCTGATATATAATTGAATATGTGGGTTAAAGGAAAAGAAAATTAAAGGTGACAGACAATGCCATCTAGGAATTACTGACTCTCTTTAACTGAATAGGCTCAGCATCAAAATTAACCAGAAACAACTAAAATACTGATAGATTTCAGCAATAAACTGCTAGTGTGCAAGCTTTTATTGAAGTTTTTAATATTATTTTAAATATCTCATCTGTGTGAATGCACTCAAATTTTCAAATCACTGGTTAGCTGAGAATTTTCAGTTAGTACCAATACAAAATAACCTTGCCAGAAAATGTAATAGCAAAGGCATTAGCTGAACAAAACCACGTTAAGCTATATACAAAAAGTAAACAGTGGTAATTTTTATATGCTTTCAGGTGAAAACAAGTCAGAAATACAGACACAAAGATCAAAATACTTCATTTGAGTTGAATTATTCAGTTAACCTTTTTCTGTTGTACGGTCATTTGATTTATGATAGTGGCCTCTGAAACTAATATATCTGGCATATTTCAATGGGAACATTTTTTTTTTTTAAACTGGCACCGACACTATTACCCTAATTAAGTCCTTTTAATGTTCTTTGTTAAAATTTCTTCTCAAATTATATTTGAATCTGCCAGGAGAAAACTTAAGGTATTATACTAGGTTAAAATGCTCTCCACTGAGGATAAAGAAGATGTGGTATACATATATATATATACACACACACACACACACACAGGAATACTACTCAGCCATTAAAAAAAAAAAAAGACAAAATCGTCCCATTTGCAACAACATGGATGGACCTTGAGGGTATTATGTTAAGCAAAATAAGCCAGATAGAGAAAGACACACCGTATGATTTCACTCATATGTGGAAGATAAATACATGGACAAAGAGAACAGATTAGTGGTTACCAGAGGGGAAGGGGGTTGGGGGGGGCATAAGGGGTAAAGGGGCACATATATATGGTAACAGACAAACAATAACGTACACTTAAATTTCACAATGTTATAAACTATTATGACCTCAATAAAATAAAATTTAAAAAAATAAAAAAGATTCAAGGAGGAACACCATAATAAATGCAGGTCTTGATTTTTCTGCCCATCACAGATGTAAGATCCCTTTAAGAATTAAAAAAAAAAAAAGTTCTCCATTGAAATTAGGTGTAAATAAGACATATTTTAATTGCCTCAGGATTGAAAAAAATTTAACTGACAGAAATTTGTACGGCTCTGAGAATCAGTTCTAACAAGGTGAGATAATAATTAGTCAAAAAGACTTTAAAATGAAAGCAAGAAAACATCAAGCTTTCAGGAAGCAGCCCAAAATACAACACCTAGAAATTAAACATTAAAAAAAAAACAATATCACTAGAGAGTTCCATTTAGAACCTACTCCAGGATTTTTATAGGACAGCTAAGGGTAGATGATAACAAAATACCTTCCTGCTTACTGAAGTCATGATGTATCAATAAAATTTTAGATTTTGCGGGACCAACCCAGTGGCATAGCAGTTAAGTTCGCACATCCCACTTCAGCGGCCCAGGGTTCAGTGGTTCAGATCCTGGGTGCAGACCTACTCACTGCTCATCAAGCCATGCTGAGGCAGCATCCCACACAGAAGAGCTACAACTCTACCACTATGATACACAACTACGTACTGGGGCTTTGGGGTGAAAAAAGAGAAAAGAGAAGACTGGCAACAGATGTTAACACAGGGCCAATCTTTCTCAAAAAAAAAAAAAAAAGATTTAGATTTTGAAAAACTCTGATTAATGATAGGTCCAACAAAATCCATAAATAATTTTTTTCTTTTCTTTTCTTTTTTGGTGAGGAAGATTGGCCCTGAGCTAACATCTGTGCCAATCTTCCTCTATTTTGTATATGGGATGCCACCACAGCATGGCTTGATGAGGTGTGCAGGTCTGCACCCAGGATCCGAACCCACGAACCGGGGGCCACCAAAGGGGAGCATGCAAACTTAATCACTACGCCACCACGCCAGGCCCCCTAAATAATTTCTTACAGCACAAATATAAGCTCTGTTTACATAAATCCTATTATTTACATTTGGACTCTCTATTGCCAAATATGGAAAGGAAGACCTATATTTACTATTGACTGTCTTTGACAAGTTTTATAAACCTTTGGTGTTTCCTTTGCTCAGTCTTAAAATAAAAACAAAAGAGTATAATGTACATTTAAGTAATTACAGTACAAATGTTCAGAGCTACAGACAATAGAATTCTACCATAATGGCTATTTTAGTGGAACAATACAGATATGAATTTAAAACAAATTATATGCAGAAAAAGCCAGGTAAAACATGCTTAGTTTACCAAAATACCAATATACAGCACTTGCTTCTGGACACACAGTAGTTGCTAGTAATTCATGTTTCATCAAAACTAAGTCAATACCAGATTCCCCATTCTTTAACACAGAGGAAAAATACTTGAATCTGAATTAAATATAATCTGTAACTATTATTTCACATTATTTTCTGTTGCCTACAGAAGTAACTATGGATCATTTAACCCCCCAAATCAAGAGTAATTAAAATAAAAACACTAAAATATCCATTTCTTTAAGGAGAAAGGTCACCTACATAACTAATCACGTCCATCAAATTTTAGAACACCCAAGTTAGATCACAGTGTCTCTGCAACTGACCTCGAACTACAAAACAGATATTTTAAGTAAAACAAAAACTAGTATCAGACATGTCATAAAAATACGTTCAAACTAACAGAATAACCTGCATCTTTTCTGAGTATTCAAAGAAATTCAAAACTTCATTCTATAGAAGCCTTGGGAAACTTAAGATTCAAACCATAAGTCAAGAAATGGGAAAAAAACTTCTTCCTAACAGCAATGAGAAGAAACTTATTGAAACACATTTTCAGTGACATTTTTTGTTGACTTTATTTTGAAAATGTAAATATTCATTTGCTTTTATATCTCTTTATCTTTTCCCTTTGCTTGATAAATTCTTTAGAGTTCATTTTTCTACTTTAAAACCAAACAACTGAAAACCACAATCATATACAATTTTCCATAACGTATGGATTTTTACTACATTTATTTTTACATACAACTTGTGAATACTGACACCTTAACACGTCAAATGAGTTAAATTCTAATGAATGAGTGGCTGCTAACCTCCAACATAATTAAATCAATTAACAGTTAATCAATTTACTGTTTGAAAAACTATAAAACTGTCCAAACTGCAGTGTAAAACAGATTTTTTGCTAGTAGTCGATCTATGAATTTTTAAAAGGAGCTTCACAGATAAACTTCAAAGATACATTATTTGCAAACATTTTACAATATTATGCATAGCCTAATTCTCATGGTTATAACACGTCCTCCTCATATTTACAGTACATGTGTTCAGTAGCCTGACCTGGCTGAGATACCGCAGTGGCTGTAAACTGAGTAGCCCATGGCGGATTCTTCTGTCCTCCAAACTGAGCCATGAAGAAAGAGGAAAAAAACCTTCTCCTGTTTTTCTTCTATAGCAGAGATCTATTAAGAAAGGATTCACATTTTAAAGTTCAACCAAACTATAAATATCACAAAAGTATTATTGTAAGACATTTCATTTGTCAAGGGCATCTTCATAGATCTAGGTATAAATAATAATGGGCATGTGAACGTCCAACATGCAGCAAAAACATTGTACATCAAGTAGTTCACCAAAAGAACCCAATTTCAATATATGACATTCAGGGTAACCTTACAAAAAAGGTACTTCTTTCTGCGACTACAAACCGTCACATTTAAACAGAAGACCATCTGCGTTATCCACCCAATTCTTAACAATAAGTTCACAGCTTTATGTTCAAAGGCAATATAGCCTGCGTGGTTTTTTTGGCAATGAGTTGGGGAATGAAAGTGATGAAGCCAATAACGGAAACTGGGACGAGACACCAAATAAAGGTATTTAAGAATATCATTCAGATAACGAACATCTCCTCACTTTCTCGAGTAGGAAAGGAACTGGGGCTCCTTTTCTCTCCCCTCCCTCGAGGGGAAAGGCAGTTGAATTAACGGATGCCCCTTAAAGAACCATCCCGAAGACCCCTCCCCCCAAAATCAAGCCAGAAAAGGCAAAGATCTCAGCCCGCGCATCCTCTCCTTCCCCCCGCGACTCGGAGGGGCCAGAGCTCTGCCATCCATCTTCCTCCAACCCTAGCTCCTCGCGGGCCGCAGACCAGAGAAGGCGGAATCCTCCGTCCCACAAGCCTGGGCGAAGCGCCAACGGGAGGACACCGGGACCCCTGGTCCCCTTAACCTCCGCGCCGGGAGGAGAAAGCCTCCATCCCCCAACACCCGCGCCGCCGCGAGCTGCCCCGACGCCCCGGGCAGGAAACCAGGAGGCTAAAGCCGCAGCGGCTCAGGAACGAGCGATGGCGGTCGGCAGTCCCTCCGGGGGCGCCAGCGCGAGGCTGAGGGGCGCTGGGGGCACCTGAGGGGCCGCGGGGGAAAAAGCCAGGCGGTGGGGGAGGGGCCGGCCGCGCGGGGCCTGCTCCGACCTGCACAAAAGGGACCGCGTCCCTCCCGCCCCAGGCTCACGAGTCCCACCGTCGTCGGCCGTGCTACCAAAACGGTCGCTCCCGGCCCTTTCGCAGATCTGGTAGCACGTTGAGAACCACGGCTCGGCCACCGCCGCTCCAACCGCGAGGACCAGACCTTCACCTGAACCGGGTCCCGGCTAGCACCGAAACCATTTCAAACCCATCAGCCTTAGGCGCATGCGCCAACTCCCCCTCTTCCTCCACGCCGCTCCCCTCCTCCCCGTCTCCCCGAGGAACGGCGCTGACGGATCTACGTTCTACGTGCGCGCTCTCCAGCTCGCCCTCCATACGCTCACCCTTTTCACTACGCGGCTAGAACTACAGCGCGCCTAAGAAGAGTTACCTAGGCTTCGCATAACAATGAGCCGGGCTGTGTCAATGGAAAACTGAGGAAAAGGCTTTCGAGAGTGTGGGAAGGAGAGAATCGAAAGTCACGTGATCAGATGAGCCCTCCGCCATTTTGTGTTTTTTCGCCATTTTTTCTTCTAGTTCAAGTACTTGGAAGAATGGCCATATCCTGTGGCATCTTTTTTTTTTTTAAGATAAAATTCACTTAACATATAATTCACTGTTTTAAATATTTTATATTGTATAATCAGTGGCTCTTAGTATATTCATAAGATCGTGCAACCGGCATCACCTCCACCCTTAAAAGAAACCCCTATTCATTAAGGAGTGACTCCTTAATCCCTTCTCCCTCCAGCCACTGGCAACCAGTAATCTGCTTTCTGTCTCTATGGATTTGCCTGTCCTTGCATTTCATATTAGTAGAATCATACAATATATGGCCTTTGTGTCTGGCTTCAGTAACTTACTATATTGTTTCCAAGGTTACTGTAGCATGTATCAGTACTTCATTCCATTTTATGGCTAAAACTATTCTTTTAAATGGATAATACCACATTTTATTTATCTATTAGTCATTTGAATATTTGGATTGTCTCTAGTCTTTGGCTATTATGAATAATGCTGCTATGAACATTCACATACAAGTTTTTGTTTGAACTCTTATTGTCAGTTCTCTTAGGTGTAGACCTAGGAGTGGAGTTCTGGATCACATGGACCTTATATACTTAACTTTTTGGAGGAATCACCAACCTGTTTTCACCAGTTTACATTCCTGTTAGCATTATACCACATCCTCCCCACCTTTTATTTTTCTTTTTGAATATTATTATTATAGCTATCTTAGCAGGTGTGAGGCGGTTTTCATTAGTATTTACCACATGATTAATAATATTGAGAGGGGCCGGCCCCGTGGCTTGGTGGTTAAGTGAGCGCGCTCCACTGCTGGCGACCCGGGTTCGGATCCCGGGCTCGCACCGACGCACTGCTTCTCCGGCCATGCTGAGGCCGCGTCCCACATACAGCAACTAGAAGGATGTGCAGCTATGATACACAACTATCTACTGGGCCTTTGGGGGGAAAAAATAAATAAATAAAATCTTTTAAAAAATAATAATAATAATATTGAGAATCTTCTTGGCCATTTGTATATCTTCTTGGAGAAATGTCTATTCAAGTCTTTTGATTCCCTCCCACACTTTATGGCGATGTTTTTGTGTGTGGTAAAGTATATATAACAAAAAAATTTATTATTGTAACCATTTTCAAAAGCCTACGATTCCGGGCGGCCCTGTGGCGTAGCGGTTAAGTGCACGTGCTCCGATGCTGGCGGCCCAGGTTCTGAGCCCGGGTGGCACCGATGTGCCACTTGTCAGGCCATGCTGTGGCAGTGTCCCACATAAAGTGGAGGAAGATGGGCACTGATGTTAGCTCAGGGCCAGTCTTCCTCAGCAAAAAGGAGGAGGATCAGCATGGATGTTAGCTCAGGGCTGATCTTCCTCACACACAAAAAAAAGTGTACAATTCAGTGGCATAAAACACATTCACAGTGCTATACAACTGTCACCTTGCCTCAATTTTAGACTTGGTTATCTTTTTTTTGTGTAGTTTTAAGAGTTCTAGTTCTGCATACTAGATCTTTATCAGAGATATGATTTGCAAATATTTGTCCCTTTCTATGGGTTATATTTTCACTTTCTTAATAGTGTCTTTTCATGCACACAACTTACTAATTTTTCTTGAAGTTGAACTTACCTATTTTTTTCTTTTGTTTCTTTTTTTTTTTAATAATTTTATTTATTTCCCCCCCCAAAAAGCCCCAGTAGATAGTTGTATGTCATAGTTGCACATCCTTCTAGTTGCTGTATGTGGGACGTGGCCTCAACATGGCCGGAGAAGGGGTGCGTCGGTGTGCGCCTGGGATCCGAACCCGGGCTGCCAGTAGCAGAGCGCGGGTACTTAGCCACTAAGCCACGGGGCTGGCCCGGTTTTGTTTTTTAAATTGAAGTTTTCAGTCCATTTAGAATTTATCCTAGGGTAAGGAGTGAGGTAAGAATCCAACTTTCTTTATTCCAGATGGCTACTGGGTTGTTCTAACTATTCATTGAATAATCCTTTATTTCCCCACTGATTTGAAATGCCACTCTTGAAATATAGCAATTCTCCATATGTGTTTAGGTTTACTTCTGGATTCCTGTTCTGTTCTACTGATCTATTATTGATTACGCCCTAACCATATTCTTTCAATTATTGTAGCTTTGTAAAATATTTTAATTTTAATATTGAGTAAAACCAGTATTCCTTCATTACTCTCCTTCCTTGCCCCTCTGAATTTATTTGGCTATTCCTTATTCCATATGAACTTTATTTTTTTATTTTTTATTTTTTATAATTTTATTTATTCATTTATTTTTCCCCCAAAGCCCCAGTAGATAGTTGTATGTCATAGTTGCACATCCTTCTAGTTGCTGTATGTGGGACGGGGCCTCAGCATGGCCGGAGAAGCGGTGCGTCAGTGCGCGCCTGGGATCCGAACCCGGGCTGCCAGCAGCGGAGTTCCCTCACTTAACCGCTAAGCCAAGCAGCCGGCCCCTCCATATAACTTTAAAGATTTTATTTATTTTATTTTTTCCCCCCAAAGCCCCAGTGGATAGTTGTATGTCGTAGCTGCACATCCTTCTAGTTGCTGTATGCGGGACTCGGCCTCAGGATGAACGGAGAAGTGGTGCCTCGATGCGCACCCGGGATCCGAACCCGGGCCACCAGCATCGCAGCGCGCGCACTTAACCACCAAGCCACAGGGCCGGCCTCCATATAACTTTAAAGTAAGCTTGTCTTGTTCCTCCCAGAATATCCTGTAGGTGGTATTTTTATCAGGATTTCTCTAAACATATAGCTTAAATTAGTGATAACTAATTGTCAGCCATGGATCCAACTAGGAATTTTATCTCATTTTTACTTCAAGCTGGTAAATTGGGACTTAGTGATGATATTTAAGTTACCATTGTGATGTAGCGTGCTATGAAGGTGAAACAGGGTGCTATAAGAGCAATGGGAACACCTTTCTTAGTCAAGAGTGTGTATATGTGCTCCTGAGGAAGTAGCATTTAACTAAAACCTGAAGAACGAGGAGTTCTTCTCCCCTAAGAGGGAGGGGAAGTAATTGTGACCTTAGCAAGTGCAGTTGCTAAATTGCACTAAATAAGTCTCATGCTATATCAGTAAACATTTTTAAATGCACTCGCTATCCCTCTCTCTCTCTCTATATATATATATGTAAAATGTTTAATATGCACTTTAAAAAAATTTGTATATTTTTGCTTTTGAAATTATTTTGCCACAAGGGACTCTTTTAATTTATAATCAACTAACATTTCTCTTCATTATTTATGCATATGTGGGAATTCTTAAGAAGTGAGAAAAATCCAACCAACAGATTGTTTTCAGTGAAACAGAATTTTTATGAATAGTAAATTGGAAAAATTAATGAAGATGTTGACATGATTTTTCTGCTTTGCTTGGAAATAATTAAATCCAAGTTTTGATTTTTGTAGTTTTCCTTCTGTATTATATTGAGCTAATATTTTTTAACAGGATTTTAATATTTCCATAGATTCTTGGAAAGCTCATAAATTCTAGGTGCTTAGATAGGGTCCCAGATGTAAGAAAATGGAAGGAGCTTATATAAATTACCATTTTATGAAATAGCCATGATTGGAAAGAGAGATGGTGGCACTAAGGGAGGGATGTGGGGTTGAAGGGCAGTTTCTTGTTTGTTTTATGATGCCAGAGACTAGAATTATTTAAATGCTGACAGAGAGGATCCAGTATTGAGATTGAAGTTATAGGAGAAAGAAGAAATAATTCTCTCCTGAAGAAGTGAATTCCCTGAGAAGGCTAGATGAGACAGAAGCCAGAGTACACATAGAAGGATTAGCCTTTGATTGGAGGAAGAACAATTCCTTCATTGTAATAGGAAGCAGAAGATGGATGCGGGGGGAGGTAGATTTATAAGCTATAGAGGGGACGGGCCGGCCCCATGGCTTAGCGGTTAAGTGCGCGCACTCTGCTACTGGTGGCCCAGGTTCAGATCCTGCGCATGCACCGATGCACCGCTGGTCCAGCCATGCTGAGGCAGCGTCCCACATACAGCACCTAGAAGGATGAGCAACTATGACATACAACTATCTACTGGGGCTTTGGGGAGAAAAAGGAAAAAAAAAGAAAAGAAGGAAGAGGATTGGCAATAGATGTTAGCTCAGGGCCGGTCTTCCTCAGCAAAAAGTGGAGGATTGGCATGGATGTTAGCTCAGGGCTGATCTTCCTCACAAAAAAAAAAGAAGAAGAAGAAGAAGAAGAAGCCATAGAAGGGAAAAAGAGAGGATTTTCTGTCTGTGGTTTCTACGTCTTCTCTGAAGAAAAAGGCAGTCAACATTTGAGAACCAATGGAGTCCAAAGGTGTACACAGACTGAATGGATTAGAGAAACTGTTACAGGCTCAGTTGACACTGGTAATTGGGACTATGTGACTATGAGAGTTGGGATTCTGCCAGCATGCCAGGGGACCTTTGGATAATCCAGCCTTAGTAGGTAGAAAGGCTTCTGGGCCGTATGCCATGTGACTGTGCAGTCTTCACCTATGAATGTGGAATCAATAACCAGTCTCTAGGTGAGCAAGGCTTAGGCTGTTCCATTTTCATGAATTAATTTATATGTAAAAAACAAGAAGAGAGAACAAAAACATAACATTTTCCTCAGACTGTATATTATGCACTAAGTAATGAAAATGTTGGCACACTCACTACTTTGTATTACTGTGTTAAAGAACAGAGAAATTCCACCTCTCAGTGATCAAAATAAGAAAGGAAAGTTGTATATTATTATCAGTCCTAGATATAAAAGAGGGAGGCTATCACAAAGTGGAGAAGTAGTGACCTAGTCATCTCACAGAGTAGCTCCTTTGCTCTGCATCAC